ATACACTAGAGTTCTATTCAGCAGTAAAGAAAGATGAAATAATGAAATTTGCAGGGAACTGGATGGAACTAGAAACTGTTATACTAAGCGAAGTAACACAGACTCAGAAAGAAAAAAAAAAAATCAACATATGTTCTCCCTCATATGTGGATCCTAGAACCAGACTCTGATAAATAAGTATGCAACCAGACACGACTACAGGAACCAGGATAAATGAAGGGAAACAGGGAGGTAAAGGAAAAGAAATAACCTGAAAGAGAAGAACAGTAGGAAACAGGCAATAAGGGAGATATGGATAAAAATTGGATTAGTTTAAGGGAGGGGGGAGGGAAGGGTATACAAGGAACCTAGGGGATAAAGGGAGAGGAGGAGCTCAAGAGAGGTAGGACCTTAGGAGAAGGGTATTAGTAAAGGAGAAAGGGGGGAAATGGGGGCACCTTAAGTGGGAAAACAATGATGGAGGGGTGAGACAATGTGAGAGATAAACAATGCCTAGCTAGTTTTGAAAACCAGAGAACCATATTACTCCTACAACCTACTGACAAATTATACATAGCAGATCAAGAAATATATGTCTAGGTAAGGTTTATCTGAGAACAACTGGTCTTTGCCCAAGATTTATCTTTATGACACACAATAACTAAAAATACCAGACTGGTGAAACTAACCTTGGGTTAACAGACATACTTTGAGGTCTATAATAATTTGGTCAGAGGGACATAAAGGACACTTTTTGCTCCTTGCCCTCCTAGGTTGTAGGAGTAATATGGACTATGAACATCTCTCCAAATGTCTTGTAATGGTGGTGGGTAACCTGTTCTCTTGATCAAGGAGTCTGAGGAGACCCCACCAGATGTACTTGCACTAGTGTCCAGTCTACAAAGAGGAGGGTCAACACAGAGGAATCATTTCCTCCCTGCTTCCAAGCAAAGCCAACCATGGCTGAGTAGGACATTTGACTTATCTTCTCCAGGCAGAACTGGTAAAAGAAAGGAGCCAGGGGCTCCTCCCAAGCCCATGTGACCCCTGAGGAACAGATCCTCAGATGACCTTAAGAGTGAAAATAAATTGGTTTATCTGG